TTTCATTCAGGTCACCCACGTGGGTGCAGGGCCCCAAGCACTTGGGTCATCCTCTGCTGCTTTCCCAGGCACATTAGCAGGGAGCTGGATCAGAGTATAAAGCAGCCAGGACACAAGCCAACACCCATACAGTGTGCTGGCATGACAGGCAGAGGCCTAACCTGGTGTACTATGCCACAATGCCCGTCCCAAAGACCCATTTCTTACCAGCACCATTAATGGTACATTTCTCAACACTCTTTTTTAAAATATATGTATTTATTTATTTGAAAATTAGAGAGAGAGAGAGAGAAAGATCTTCCCTCTGCTGATTCATTACCCAAATGGCCACAACAGTCAGGAGCCTAGAAGTCCATCTGGGTCTCCCATGTTGACAAAGGGTCCAAGCACTTGGTCCATCTACTGCTTTGCCCAAGTGCATTAGACAAATGCCGAATTGGAAGCAGAACAGCCAGGACACAAAGCGGCACCCATATGGGATATCGGCATCTCAGGAGGTGGCATAACTCGCCACCACAACACCACTCCCAGCAGCACTGTTACTTTTAAATTACATAATGGCAGCGTGCTGGAGCACTCTGCATAGAGAACACTGCCAACCTGCAGCTGTGTCCAGCCGCTGACTTCCACGCATGCGGCCTACACGGGGTCAGAGGTCTCCCAGTGCTGCCCATGGTGAGATAGCCCACTCAAACCCTTTTTTCCCCAGCAGCTGGACAGTCATCCACAGCAGAAGCATGACACCGGTACTCCATATGTTTTGGAAGGAACCAAATTCCTTGGTAGACAAGGCGTGACCACCACCTATGTGTGCTCTTCTGCTGTTCTATTCAGCATGGCCTCCCTAGTGGAGGCACAAACTCAAGCAGTGATGAAGTTCTGAAAACTCCACCAGGAAATGGGATAAAGGGAGCAAGTGAGCTTGGATCTTCCAGCAGTGCAGCAGTAGTGACACTTTGCAGAAACTACTGGTAAGGGCATTCCGTGGGACACTTCCACCACCTAGTGGTAGATCTGCAAATGACACGTGTTGTATCAGACTGAACCTTAGGGTTCAGTAGTAAAAATTGGCCTTAAAATGCTGGCAGCAGCAAGGTCATCATAGGCAACTGTCAACAAATGCTAAATGCTAAGTGCGTGTTCCTTCTGGGTCTACTCCTTGATGTGCACTGGAGATGGGGAACAGAGAAATTCTATTATGTTGGGGTTGGCTCAATGGCTCTGCTGACTAATCCTCCTTTTGCAAGTGCCAGAATCCCATGTAGGTACCGGTTCCTGTCCTAGCTGTTCTGCTTGCCATCCAGCTTCCTACTTATGGTCTGGGAAAACAGTGGAGGATGACCCAAAACCTTGGGACCCTGCACCTGCATGGGAGACCAGAAGACGCTCCTGGATCCTGGCTTCAGATCAACTCAGCTCCAGCCATTGTTGCCATCTGGAGAGTGAACCAGAAGATGAACAGGTTTTTCTGTCTTGCCTTCTCTTTCTCTCCCTCTCTGTCTGTAAATCTGTCATTCCAATAAAAATCAATAAATTCTGGCGGGGTGGGGGGGTGGGAAATTTGCCCTTTAAGTTACTTCTTTTAAAAAAAAAAAAAAAAGTTCTGGAATATTGTGAACAACAGCCCTCCGCCCCAGCCCATGGTGCAAGTGTGGAGATTGGAATCTTCCTTGAGAGTCCTGCCTGGTAGAAGCAGTGACGTCATCATTGGTAGACAGCGCTTTTCTCCCACCGTGCAGCAGCAGTCGTCTCAAGTCCCTGCTCATCACTCCCCTGCCGTGCCAGCAGCCACGGTGCTCGCCAAGAAGCCCATCTAGTTCTTAAGTTACTCATCCTGTAAAAGATCTGGATGTCTAGATTTATCTTTTTTCAAGTACTTGGTTATTTTGAAAGTCAACGTTACAGATAGCGAGAAAAGGACTGGGAAAGGTAGAGATTGTTCATTAGCTGGCTCACTCCCCCAGTGGCCACAACAGCCAGCCCCGTGGCAGGCCCAAGGCAGCAGGCAGGAACTTCTCCCATGGGGATGCAGGGGTCCAAGAACTTGGAGCCTCCTCCATTGCTTTCCCAAGCTATAAGCAGGGAGCTGGATGGGAAGTGGAGCAGCCGGGACTTGAACTAGTGCCCATACGGGATGCCAGCATCACAAGCAACGAACGGTTTTACTTGCTTATCCCACAACACCAGCCTGGAGTCCTGTATCTCCACACGATACAATGGGCTACTTTAAAATCCTTTGCTCTCTCTCTCTCTCTCTCTCTCTCTCTCTCTCTTTTCCTCCTCTCCCTCCCTCTCGTCCTTCCTTCCTTTCCAACATGTTCAATTCAGTTCAAAGATATTATCTACGTAGTCCTTTGTTTTCTAACTTTAAGCATTTCCTGCCGGGATTCTGTAAAGGTATCCATGGCGCACCCAGTATCACGGCTCACTTGCTCCAGAGGCCCAGCAAGCGGACAGAAGCGGACAGGTGAGGAAGGCACAGCTAGGCAGAGAGGGGAGACATCTATTCAAACGGGCCCCCCAGGGCAGTCTCAACACAGGCCTTGTCTGAGGAGGCGGCTGTCTTTCCCACACTGTGAAAATCAGGAAAGTTTGCATGACTTCTGCAGGGGGGCCCGGCTCGGGCAGGTGCCCCGGCCTTGCCCACTGGGCGATGCGGAGGAGTGCTCGGCTGGAGCCGGGGAGGGGGTGGGGAGAGAGGGGAGGTCATGGGCGTGGGGCGTGGGGCGGGGGGAACACCCTGGTCCCTGCTCTGCTGCCTCTGCCCGCAACTCCCCAAGCAGGTGCGCGCTCCAGCCACGCCAGGCGGGATTCTGGGCTGAAGACCCGGCACTTCCAAAACCTCCGAACAGAGCCCAGAGGACCACCACCCCCACCCCAGCTAAACCCTCTCGGTCCTGTCCCTTCAGACACAGTCACCCTGTCCCGTTTCACACCTGACCCCGATCCACAGAATCTGGGGACCTGAAGAAGCATCCTAAACCTCCGAGACCGGCCCACACCCTGCCCCAGGACGTCTGAATTTGTTCTTGCAGCCCAAGGCGGTCCATCAGCCAGCCGAGTCAGACTCCAGCCTCTGGCTCCCTCCCCCTGTGAGGTGCAAGGACCCCTTCACTCTTGGTAGAACTGCGCTTCCCTCCCGGCCACCCCTCGGCCCTCTCCTCTGCCTGGGGTCCCCAGTGTCGTCCCCCAGAACTCCTCAGAAGCAGGGTAGGTGGTGGCCTGAAGGCGCCGAGCTTGGGAGAGGCTGGCTGCTGGAGCTCACGTGGCTGGCTGTCTACCTTCCCAGGCACCCAGGCCTTCCTAGAAACCAAGGAGACCCAGGGCTTGCCTCTCTTGGGTGTCGCCCTGTCCTTTTACAGCTCTCTCTGGCTTCCCACCTCAGGGATTTGTGACGGCTCGTTGTGGTTCTCCCTGATCGGGGTGACTTGATAGAGCTGAAAAATGCAGACATATCACCCAGCAGTGTTGTGGCTTGTTTTAAGTCGTATTTATCTGGAAGGCAGAATAAGAGAGTGAGAGAACATCCACCAGCTGATTCACCCCCCCAAAAGGCTACAGCAGCCAGGGCCGGAGCCAGGAGTCCCCCAGATGGCCCCCATGGGTGGGGGCTCCTAGTCCTTACGTTAGCAGGGAGCTGGACCAGTGCAGCATGCTGGTGTGGCAGGGGCCAGTTTAAGCTGCTGGGCTACAACACATCCCCTTCCCCACCTCCCGGGCGAAGAGGCAGGGTCAGAAGCAGCTGCCCTGCGCAGCCCCTACCTCCAGCTCCACACACTCCCTAGCCCCTCACCTCCTCCCCTTTTCTGGATATTTCTAAGTAGGAGCCCTACTGCTTTCCAAGTACTCACCAAGGGTCTGTTCTCTCCCTACTTAGGGAGGGTTGACTGAGACCCAGCAAAATCACCTGTCACAGCGAGTGAGAGAGACACCTTTGGCATTTCATGACCTGACTTGGCAAGACTTTGCTGCTCCCTTGAAACAGAATCTACTTGCCACCCCATCACTCCACGTGGATGTCACTTCTTTCATGGTATCCAGAGAGGCACAGGCTGGGGAGTGGTTGCTTTGCTCAGTACCACTCTTGGCCACTCACTGTTAAGTGGTACTTTATCTGTTTCCTCGGTGTTTCTCTTCTGAGCCTGTCTGCAGTTAACTTTTATTATTTTCTAGTCAAGAAACTTGAATTCAGCAACGTGGCTGCTAAGGATTTCCAAGCCTTGTGCTGTCCTCAGATGAGGCTGCCTTGCGCTGAGTGTGTCTCCATTTATGAGCTAGGGACACAGGTGCACACCCCTGACATCCCGGGAAGGTGTGGAGGAGGGTTGTGACAGATGGCCAAGGCCTCATGGAGAGGAGGGAACAGGGTGTGCAGGACATGGCAAACCCTGCTGGGTGATGTCCCAGCCCCCTCTCCCAACCCCAAGGCCAGGCGAGCAGCTGCCATGGAGTCAGGACAAACAGCCACAGCCAGCGAGGAGGCCGCAGCTCCCATCCTGGCTGATGGGAGGTTGGAAGGACTGCCCCTTAGCCTCTCCGTCTGTGAGCCCACGTGCCACATCCAGCACAAAGTGAGGAAGGAGCAGGCCATGGTCACTCGTACAGGCAGAAGTCAGGTGCCATTTCCAAAATGCCAATGAGCTTTTCCCTTGGGCCTGGGAAGTTTTCCATCATGTTATTTGTGCATTTGTTGTTGCTGGTTTAAACAAAAAAATGAAACTTCACATACCAGTCATTGGTTGCAAGGGGGCAAATATTATGTTCCCTCCTAAACTAGAGAATATTGCCATCATCTGAATTAGGTTGGAGAAAAGATCCAAAATGACTTTTTTTGTTTGAAAGCAAAAAAACCATGCCCAAGAGGGGAAGGTGATGTGGAACAAGGGGCAGGTATTGCGTGGCGAGGGGCTGGGGACACACAGATGCACCCACAACCCACTAGGAGCAGCAGCCGGAACAGACAAAACCAACGTTCTCATTCTGTTTCATTGGTGTTATTGATCATGTATCCAGTATTCATTATATAAATCTTTTTAAAATAACCAGATAGTACAAGAATAGTTTATAAGTCAGCTTTGATTGCACAAATACTTGACACAGGAAACTCTTTTTTACAAATACATAGGTTTCTTTATAAGAATATTTTAGTAAGGAAAATAAGTCTCTATGCATCTCATAGCTCATTCCACGCTGTTTCTTCCACTCAACCATCCCTTTGGGCTTTCCACTCTAGCATGTCTGCTGTGTTCAGCAAAGACAATCCACTGCCACTCCTCCAACACTGCTAAGCCGCACACTGGTGGCACATTTGCATGCTCGATTTTCTCATCTTTTCTGATTGGAAGGAATTCATGTCTTCCGGCTAGCAGAGATAATTCATACAACATCCCTTCTATTCAGGACCTGGATTGGGTGGTAGGTCTGTTATACCCTGTCTGGGGTCGGTCAGCTAGCATTTTTTATCCCTCTGGGTATCTTACTGGTTCTTCTCAGCTGCAAATATCAAACCCTGGAGACGAGAGTGGAGCACAAAGATTCATAAGGTGGAAACAGTGGCTGCTGGTGAGAGAGCGCTTACATTCAAGTCTCTCCCAGGCTAAAGACAGAAGAGCAGAGGGGTAGGGCAGTAGTTGTACACAACACTGAAAATCCAGGGCAGGTTCATTGCTTGAGCTGCTGGGGGGGCATCTCCAGAATGCCAGGGGCTACACAATCTTAGACCCCACGACCAGCTCCAAGCAATATTTAACATTCCTCTCAGGTGGTGGCTTTGACATAGCAAATACCTGTTCCTCCAGCACCAGCACTCTAGCAGGTCCGAGGGACAGACACTGTGGACCTGAAGAGGCACGACCCGCTGGGGACATTTGGCATTGGCTGTGTTCCACTCTGGTCATTCAGAGTGTGGCCACTTGGCCTGTTGTCTTACTTTTTGGGCAGCATATATTAAAATCGAGACACTGGCAGTTCTTGGCTCCAGTTACAGTACTCTTACAAGAATTCTATAATTGTGCCCACATCCAATCAGCAATTTTAAGAACACTGAGGGATTAGAAAACATGCCATTTTGCTTCTCTTAAAATTCTTGAGTTCTCTTCCTACCCAAGAATGACAAATTGCTCTCAGTTTTTACCAAAAATGCTACAACAGCGAGTTATTCTGCATTAGGGAGAGTGTTCAATCACATTTTCTCAGGTCACATTTGCACGAAACCAGCAGGCAGCCCGAGAGCCTACTACTGCAGGGATTTGGCAAATTCCGCGTAGTCGATGTATCCGTCGTTGTTCTTGTCATCATCTCGCAAAACGCCATCGATTATGTTAATCAGTTCATCTTCACTCATTAGTGGTGCCTGTTCGTTCCCTTCCTACAAAAACAAAAATTAGGCAAGGCTGAGCAGCACATTTTATAGCCGTTTCCCAAAATTCCCATGCTCTTACGTGTCCTGAAACTCCTTCAGATGCAGCACATCACCACTCCCAGGAACCCACAAACCTGTATGTCAGACACAGCCAATGTACAACAATCCAGTCTGCACCCGACATTTGCCAGCTAAGGCAAATGCAATCCAAAGCAGGCCCTTGTCTGTCTCAAAAATGACTGTTCACCAGGGCCAGCGATGCTGTGACACAGTAAGTTAATCCTCTACCTGCGGTGTAAGCATCCCATATGGGCACTGGTTTGAGTTAAAGCTGCTCTACTTCTTTTTTTTTTTTTTTTAAGATTTATTTTTATTATTTTTTCATTGGAAAGGCGGATATACAGAGAGGAGAGACAGAGAGGAAGATCTTCCGTCCAATGATTCACTCCCCAAGTGAGCGCAACGGGTCGATACTATGCCGATCCGAAGCCAGGAGCCTCTTTCGGGTCTCCCACGCGGATGCAGGTTCCCAAAGCTTTGGGCCATCCTCGACTGCTTTCCCAGGCCACAGGCAGGGAGCTGGAAGGGAAGCGGGGCTGCCGGGATTAGAACAGGCACCCATATGGGATCCCGGGCGTGCAAGGCGAGGACCTTAACCACTTGCGCCACCGCGCCGGGCCCGAGCTGCTCTACTTCTAATCCAGATCCCTGTTAATGGCCCTAGAAAAGAATGAAAGATGGCGTAAGTCCTTGTGCCTCTGCACGCACATGGGAGACCTGGAAGAAGCTCCTGGCTTCAAACTGGCCCAGCTCCGGCCACTGTGGCCATTTGGGGAGTAAACCTGTGGATAAAAGATCTCTCTCTCTCTCTTTTTCTGTCTCCGTGTGTCTCTCCTTCTCTCTATAAATCTGCCTTTCAAATAAAAATAAATCTTTAAAAAGACAGTACATGTTCACCAGGAAAATCTTGAGTCCACGACCCCCACAGCCATCCTCTAGAGGAGCTCACAGCCCAGGTGCTCCTGGGGGGCCTACATACAAGCAGGTATGTGGTGGGCAGGAGGGGCAAGGCGATGCCTGCCAGCAGAGCCCGTTGTGGACCTTCACCCCCACAGCAGGTGCAGGGGGGCTTACTGAGCCAGGCGCTAAGACCACTTCTCCTTGGCTGCTTTCTTCTTTGCTATAAGTCTGCATCCACCCCTTCCTCTCATGGCCACCACCAGCCTCACCTGCCCTGACTGCTGAATGCAAACCCTTCTCCTTACTGCTTGGCTGCCCACAGCAAGGCAGGCTCCCCAAACAGGAACACTCGCCCATGGGAAACCACTGGCGCCCCCTAGTGTCTTCAGAGCAAACCCCGACGGGCACTCCCAAGAGCTCACACATAGGTAGGATCACACCTGCCCAGGTCTGCCTGGTTTCCTCTGGAGAAGGCGGTGTGGCAGAACAGGGTGACATTAAATCTGGAAGCACAGGACTTCGATCCCAGTTCCCTTTTATGGAATATACGAGAATAGTAACAGGAAGTGCCCACCTCCCACCCCCTTGACCTCTAAGCCACTCACAGGTGCTTCAGAAACCTGAGCACATCATGCGGTCCCATAGAAGCCCCTACTGCCAAGTGCCTTCGTCCCCAGATTCACCACTCTTGCCGAATGCTCTCCTGCTCTGCAGAAATGCCTACAACACTTGCTAAAGATAGAGGCCCTGCCCCCACGTATGCCTCAGCAGTGCCCTCTGACCCCTGGGAAGGAACAGACAGAGCCAACAGAACCAAGAGGTGAGGGGACAGAAGCATTACTGACACATACAGCACCCAGACCTTCAAGACGGAGCGTCCACTACCACACAGGGCCCTCCCAGCCCTGCCTGGCGAGCCGCTGCCTGACCCACCTCCTTGTGGACATGTGTGATGGCAGTGGAGAGTTCTAGGCCATCGAGCAAGCCGTTGCCATCATAATCATGCATTTTGAAATAGTGCAGCTGCAGTTCCTGGGGTGACATCTCTGCCTCTGGCTTGTTGATGACACCTTCTAGATGTTCCAGGATATGCCTAAAAAGCAAATAGTCAGCCTCAGAAATGGGGGTCGTGTGGAATCTGCCAGGACCTGGAGAAGCCCACAGCCCAAGTAGTTCAGGAACACAAGCAGGCACCGGGGTGAAGGCCACGCTCTAGGACAAGCAGGCTGGGTGCACAGACAAGGCCAGAAAAGTGCAGGAGACAGTTCCCTGTGTGTGCAGGTAGAACTATGGGCTAGCAAAACAAAGCAAAACAAAATCTATGCTTAAAAACACTTCAAGGAGAGCAAAATAGAACATGTGAGGGTCCCTGGCCTGGAACAACCATGGAGTCAAGATCGGGAGGTGTCCATGTGCAGAGGGTGCCCTCAGAGTTAGCAAACCGGCCACAGCCTGCCCTACTCCTTCCCAGCATCCATCTGTGCACATGCTCAGGTGGCTGCCTCCCCATGTGTGAGAAAAAGAGCCCGTTCGGAGAAATCATTTATCCCAAGATCCTCCTTCTGTGTGTGATGGAAAGACAAGAGGACAGAGGTGCCTGGCAGCTGGCTGCAATGATGGGAGGGCTGCAGGACCACAGCCGGGGCTGGATACGTACTCTTGGTCATGCACCGTGTTCTTATCCAGACCCACACTGCCCGAATGAGAGACACTGGCTGCCGGCTCCTCGGCCCTGGCGCCTGGGGTGCAAACGGCCCAGAGCAGCCCACACAACAAGGGGGCTCTGAGCAGCTGTAGGGACGTCATGGTCACGGTCACGGTCACTGGCACCTAGGGGCAGAGAACACAGAGCACCAAGCTAAGGTTTCTTTCAGACTTGACACAACAGGCTCCTAGGAAACCAGGGGAGCAGCAGGGCTGGGAAGGTCAGTGTGTCCAGCTAGGCCCAAGGTCCAGCTGGGCACTGGATTGCAGGGAAACCTCCGTCACTCAGATAGGGGCCATGGAGGGAGTGGAGGGGAACATGACATTCCCTGAGAGCTTCCCACCTGCCACCTCACACCACTAGAGCACCAAGGGACTCAGAGTGTGCTAACCTCCCGAAACTTCCTGTCCCCTTCAAGGGCTTTCTCCCCCAGAGCACCAAGGAGGGCAGAATGCAAGGTGCACTGAGAAAGGAGGAGCCCTCTGGGAGGCCAAGGGCAGGCAGTCCCTCTGGGCGAGGGAACATTAGGGTAGGCTGGCGGACACGGTGGCCCTTGAGCTGGGCCTGGACAGACATGTGGGGTTGGAAGGACTAAAGGAAGGGTGAGAGCCAGCTGAGTGAGAAAGCAACCAGAGCCTGGAGGGAGGGAAACAGACATAGTGGACGTGTGGCCAAGGTTGGACAGACTGCTAGACACGGCTCTGCATGCCAGGTGGGTGGCCCTTCCTGAGGACAAACAGGGAGCCGCTGACAATGCATGATGGGCAGATGAGCTCAGAGGTTGGCTTACAAATGATTCATCAGAAAGCACAGTGGGGCAAGACCAGACAGGCCCTGGGAGTGAGGGAAGTGGGAAAGAGGGTCAGCTCCAGATGGACAGCAGTACACACAGAAAAGGGGACGTTAGCTCCTGTCCTTTCTGTGTCCCAGGGCTGGGACAGCAGCGCGTACCTAACTATGGCAAAAGGCACACAGTTACAGAGGAGTCAGGAGTCCATGGCAGGGGATGGGGGCAGTTAGTCCCAGCAGAACTCCCCATCAAGCATCAGGCAGACTTCTCACCAGATGGCTCAACTCCAAGTTCTGGTCCTTTCTGGGGTTTATGGACTAACTAGGGCAGATTCTGCTGGATGGCCCAGGCCCAGGTGTGGCCATGGCACAAGCCCCTGGCAGCCAGGACCAAGCAGAAAGCATGACCACTCCTTCCAGCACCCAGTTCAGGGCTGCTGAGCTGCTGCTTCTCCATGGCAGGTCTGGGGCTGGGAAGCAGAGCTGTTACAGCATCTTCTCCCCCTACCTGCTCTGAGGGAGGGACCTGAAGACACACACCTGATGTGGCACCTTGTATCAGCTACACCTTAATGCAATCTCTCAGGGGAACGCTCTACACAGAGCAAATGAAACAGCAGCCTGTGGGAGTCTATAAAGAATAATTCATGGTTATACAATAAAGCGTGCCTGTGTCATACGTAAACCAGTGACTAAACACAGACAACAAAGACTATCTTCAGGGATGAGCATTCAGCGCAGCACTTAATGAACCTAGGTCCTATGCAAGAGTGCCTGATTCCACAGCCACTTTGGGCTCCTGCCAAGGCAGTCCTGGCTTGAGTATTCAGCTCCCGGCTTTGGCCTCTGCCAGGTTCATGGGCATCTAGCGAATGAACTAGCTGATGGAAGCTTGTTCTCTGTATCTGTCTCTTTCCCTCTCAAATAAATAAATACATCAACCAATAAATTTTTTTAAAAGGAGGAGTTGTAATTTTCTTCCTTGAATAATTTTATTGCTTCTAGAACCACTATTATAAACATTTCTTTACAAATATAAATTTTAATGTATCTATCTCACAATTTAATTCCAAAATTATATGGATGGGGGAAGAAAAAAGTACCCAGTTAATTCTTATCTCCAAAAAGCAATTTAGGAAGAGTCTGAAGCTATACTTCCAATTTACCAAATAAAAGTGGACAGACCCTAACATGGTCACTGCCCTTACATCTGGTACCCAAGTCATCCCAAGCAGTCAGCACTCAGCAGCCAGGGCAGAGCACCTTGCTTGGAATATATACTTAGTGTATATACGTAGTGTATTCTGGGGCAGGAGGGCCAGGCAGGGCGTCTAGCTCCTCTCCAGCTCTTTCCCCAGCAAGCTCTGGCTTTGGTGTTCCATCTGCTGCCAGCTGCTTCCCTCCCAGAGGCTCCTGTCCACTGCTGATGACCATGACCTGTGAAACAGCCTAGTTGCTTCTCAATGTTCCTGCTGGACTGGGCTGTCAGGGAGCAGGGACTGAATCCACCAGACACAATGTAGGGCCACCAAGGCAGTGGGTTTCCAGCCTGTGTGCCATGGTCCTGGGGAAAATGGGGCGGAGGGGTGACCACCTTCACAGACAGGCTATCAAGTTTTTATGTCAATGTGATCGAGGGTAGCCACGTTCTTTGGGAGCCATTCATCAGCTAGTTCATTGAGCTGAGGGCTCACTGAATCCATGGCATGGATGTCTTCTACCTGCTGGGTGGTGCTTAGTAAATCAAAAAGGGGTGGGGAGGAGTATGTGTGGGGGCAGCAGAGGTGTCCTGTTCAGATAACACCAAAAATCAACCAGGCAATTAACAATAATATGGAACCCTGGGTCCAAATTATTTCCTTAAGAGAAGAACCAATGATTTTGGTTTGTATTGTAGGTTTCTAACCACTGGAACATAAGAAAAATCAAATCCATACACACACAGGAGAGGACCCTCCCTGCCATGAGCACCGACAGCACACACACTGCATTGATGACAATGGCTCTAACTGCCACCTGATGAGCTGGGAAGGGTTGAAAGGAGACGACGCAAGTTCCCCACTCTGCTCAAAGAGCAAGTTGCATCACCCACATTCCAACCACTGACCTCAGGGCCCATGGGTAAACAACCTGGAAGATAAACTCCAGGGCTTTCCAAGCCTACAGGCCTTCTCTCAGAAACTAAATAAATTAAACTAGGCTGGAGGCTGGCTGTGGCCTAGGAGGATAAGCTCCCATCTGCAGTGCTGGCATCCCATATGGTTGCTGATTTGAGTCCCAGCTGTTCCACTTCCAATCCAGCTCCCTGCTAATGTGCCTGGGAAAGCAGAGGAGGATGGTCCAAGTCCTTGGGCTCTGGAAGCCACAGAAGTTCCCGGCTCCTGACTTTGAACCAACCCAGCTCCAGTCACTGCAGCCACTTAGGGAGTGAACCAGCAGGTGGAAGATCTCTCTCTTTTTCTGTAACTCTGCCTTTCAAATAAATAAATAAATCTTAAAAAGAGCAGGAAGGAAGGAAGAAAGACTGGACAAAAGCCCCAGGAAGGAGTGATTTTCTGTGGAGACCACAGAGCACAGCCCAAGCTTCTGACACCTCTCATCTTCTCATGAGACGAGGCTCAGGTCGCAGGAGGGAAGTGCCGGGCCACGGTCAAGTGGGGGCCCCCCAGTACCCTAACTCCCTTAACTCTAAAAGGGCTTCCTCCGCTGCCCAAGCAGCCTCTCCCTGCCCACAGTCTTTGCTGCCCCCACCCACCCCACTACCTGCACATGAGCCACCTTCCTCCCAGACCCTGGGTCTCTTCCGGCCTCCTCTGACTCTGCGGCCTCTCACACTCACTGGGCATTAACAGATACCTCACACGTTGTTCTCCCTTCCTGTCTTTCCCTTTCCCTCTGCTCTAAGGGCTGCAGTTCTGCCTTCTCCGAACTTCACTCACCCTACTAACAGGGTTGGCATGTTGGCATGTCTGAATCAGGACCATGAGTCCTGGCACTGCGTTACTCTGATCACAGAGGATCTGGCCTAGGCTGCACCTTCTCTTAAGAGCTCTCCCCCCACCCCAGCAGTTTGGCCTGGGCCACCCTTCCTGCTCATTGTGTCACTAGTTCTGCTGGAGCCAGCCAGCCAGCCAGCCAGCCAGCCAGCAGCTGCTGGCAGCTCCTCTTGCAGGCAGGGGGCCCTGGGTTAAGAACTCAAACTCAACGCCGTTCCACCACCCCACACGTCCAGACATTCCGTGTCCCGAGCCAGTGCCAAAGACAAACGCTCCCCATTCACCACTGGTCCCGGGCTGAAGAGACAAGAAAAGAAGCAGGCTCTTAAACCGGTAGGTTCCATGTCTGCAAAAGCAGGCATTCAGCAGCTTGATCTGAGCACCCATGAGGGTAGCCACGCTGCAGCTACACATCTCAAGACAGTGATCGCCCGGTAACATATGCTCCATGCACTGGCACAAGGATGGGAGCCAGGGAGGCCACCTCACACAGCCTGGGCAGGAGGGACCACCAACTCCAACTGCCCCAAATACACGCAGGAAGGATGAGAACAATTATCTCCCCCAAAGCACAGCATATGTTAACCAACACTTAGGGCTGGAAGGAAAAACAGGGAGATGAAGAGTTAACAGGGTGGAAGTTTAACAGAAGCAGACGAGTGTCAAGAAAAGGACAAAGTGGACAGGTGACAAGGACCTGGGCCAGGGCGTGAATGCCCCATGGGAACCTAGTTAAGCATTAGCAGACTTCACTTCAAGATCTTGCTTCTGGTCCCCTGTGAAGAGCTAAAGGATCAAGATGGGACGCAGGGGGGACAGACAGTAACCAGTGAGGAGCTGTGAGAGGCAAAGGTGAAGAGCCTGCGTGGAACCCCGCGACAGATTCCACGTGGGCGGTGCATAAGTGCGGGTGTCAGGGGTGGACACACAGGTGGGAGACAGGACCAGACCTCGAGTGGCAAAACGAAAAGAAACCAGCTTCCCCACTTGCCTACTCCCTGCCCGGGCAGGGAGGGCCCAGCCAACTTCCCAGTCCACAGGACCCGTGGACTCCTCCGGGGGTCAGAGGGGACAATCCAAGCAGACGGGACATATCGCCTGTGGCCGCAGGCTCCCAAACAGAAACCACCCGGCACAGCTGGGCTCTCAGGCAGGTCCCGGGGTCTCCAGGGTCCAGCAAAGAAGACAGGAGGCGGCCGGATGGAAGGTTCCAATCCTCCCGGCAGGACACAGGCCCAGCTGCTAGCCGGAGAAGGGTCCCAGGGCGGCATACCCCTACACCAAGCCTCTCCAGACGACCACCGTGAGTCCGGAGCCCAAAGGATCCGCCGCGCTCCCGATCCCGGGCCCCCCACCAGCCGGGGCGCGGGTCCACTCACGCTCGCTGCCCCCGCCGCGGACGAGAAGCCCTCCAGCCTGAGCCTCCCCAGTCCCGGTCCCCAGAACGCCAGTTCTCGGCTCGCTCCGCCCCGCGAGCCCGCCCTGCGCACGCGCGCTCCTGCCCGCCCGCCTGCCCATTGGCGCCGCTGGGCCCGCCCCCTGCTGGGCGGTCGTCTGCGGGGACGGCTCCCGGGAGTCCACGTGTAAAACAGCTTCTCCGGCCTTGCCCAGGACAGGCCGCTGGAGGCCCAGGGGCCCGCGAGGGTGCCAGGAGAAGCCCCCCACCCCCGGGACCGTGAGCCGGCGTGGGACGGAGGATGACCGAGGTGGATGGGGCGGACTCCAAAGCTGACTCCGGGTCCCGCCTTCACCTCACCTGTCCCGGTCCTTCGGCAAGGGAGACTGCTCATGGACATACGAGTTCTGCTTAACAGTGCGACTGGGAGACTCTGGGGTTGGCCTTGAAACTTGCGCTTGTAAGAATGACCTGCTTCTCCCTGCTGCATCCCCCGGGGACCTTCAAGCTAGGGTACCCCCTCCAAAAAGCTTTGGGCGATCCAGTTCCAATACCACCTTCCCTGCGCAGTGCGTGAAACCAGTATTCACTCAAGAGAGAAGATAAAGAACTTTACACTGTGTGACCCTGCCTCTGGACAGGATTGTCACTCACTTGGAGTATCACGTGGACACAAGTCCTCTTTGAATTTAGGACTGCGATTTTTAAAAACCTTTTCTGGCATGTGTGGCAAGGAAGACACAACCCACTTTCACGTGCACTTGGATCGCTAAAGAGAGAGAGAAGAAAAAAGTAGCCAAGTAGGTAGATGACCCCAAGACAGTCTGCTTTGGTTTATTTGTTTAAGATTAGAGTTACAAAGAGTGAAGATATAGGTTTCATTTGCTGGTTTACTCCCCAAATGGCTGCCATGAGCTAGGGCTGGGCCAGTCACCTGGAACTCTCTCCAGATCTCCCACCTGAGTGGCAGGGGCCCAAGTACTCAGACCATCTTCCACTGCTCTCCCAGGTGCGTGAGCAGGAACCTGGGTCAGAAGTTGAGCAGCTGAAACTCAAACTGGTGCGCCGGCATGTAAGGTGGAGGCTTAACTCATTGCACCACAGTGGCAGACCGTGAAGTCTGCTTTTATTAAATCGGTGCTGTGAATTGGCCAGAACCAGTGCTCTTGAAGCCTCCTTCGCTCTTCCATTGCCATCAATTAACCCCTTCCCAGAGGAGGGGAAAAAAAATCCCAAGACCTCCAAATGAATCCTTGGAGACTCCATTAATTCAAGACCCTTCTCCATTCCTTCCTCTGTAGACTGGACCACTTTGACCTTTTTGTTTATTCTGCCCTGCACCTGCCCATCATCAGTCTATCTTTCCATTTTTTCATTGAGTCAATAGTTGAGTCACATTTCTTGAGAGCCTTCTATATCCAAGGCACTGTGTAGGGAGCTAGCAGAGATGACAATACAAGGGAGACAGAGTCTCTTCAGTTAGCTCAGCATTTATTCCATGGATAAAGTGTCCTCGTGCAAGTTAGCCAGGGCCTCCATTTTTCTGCAGATGTTGTCTCCTGGTATCCGTCTGGAATTAGCAGTGACTGCCCCTCTACCACACCGATCCCTTCAGCGTCTGAGCTTGCTGTCTGGTTTCTTCCCCCACCAAGCTCCTCCAACTGCCATCTCCATGCAAATTCAGTGGTCTCTGGTGGCTGTTCTCATTTAGCTTGTCCTCCCAGCGGTATTCATCGGTCAGTCACCCCATTTAGAAAGACTTTCTTCCCTTGTTTTCTGACCTCACACATCCTAGGTCACCCTCCTATCTCACTGACCCTTTTTTGTTAGGTTCTTTTTCTGGTTTCTCATGCTCTGCTACACCCATCAGTCAATATTCAAAATAACAGGGTTCTTTCTTGAGCTTCCCTCTTCTGCCATCCCACAGCCTGTGGCTTCGCTTAGTCCCATGCTTCAGGACGTTATGAACTGTACTCATGAGCAGCCGAGTACAGAAGTAACCTGCATATGACCTGTCCTTGGGATTCCCGAATCCTCAGTGACTGCCTGCTTGACATTTCCACATGGAGGTCTACCTGGCCTCCCAACGTGGCCCCCCAAATCTTCGTGTTCACCTCTACACTTGCGCCTCTCTTAGTCATGTTCATTTTAGGAGATGTCACTTATTCAAGTTGCAACCCAGAAGCTGCTCCTGATTCCTTGTATTGCCTTTGCCTTTTGAGCTAATCCTAATACAAGAGACAGCTGGATCAGAAACTCTTTGCCTAATAAAAGAATTTCAAATGTGAGACAGAATACTGCCACTGGACCATAGCACTTCCCTAAGCTGCTCCCTGCCACACCCTGGGCCGGCTGGGACACAGGCAATTTATAATTTACAATTGCAGGTCTGCATCACCTCTCATCCAACCACACAGAAGTCCCATTTTTGTTCTTCAGCCCTTCTCACACTCGTAGGTTAATGAATGCCTGCCTTCCTACCCAGCCCTTCAGTCAATTCTGTTGATGCTGAGCCTGTTGTGTCTTTGCACTCACTGCTGCTGCCATTCTAAGCCTAAGGAACCATCCCTGCCTTGGGGGCAGCTGAGAGCTTCTTCCCTGTCCTCCCTGCCTCCACCTCTTCACTCACAAAGGTGAGTGAACAGCCACCTGTGTTGAATAGGGGGTGTTCTGTCATTTGTAGTTAAACCCATTCACAATGGCAAAGAATTTGGTACCAAAAGTAGGATGCTAAAAATCTGTACTAAAATATGGAACTGGAGATTGAGATAGCCATTGTCAAAGACTATTCTAAATAGGAAAGTTGGTGATTCTTATTAAGCACTAGTTAAACTGTAAATCTTGCTGGCCCTTAGGTGCAGACTGTATGTCAACCAAAATTGAATTTTAGGAGCCTAATTGTATTGGTTTTCTCTCTCTCTCTCTCTCTCCCTCTCTCCCTCTCTCTCTCTAACTTCTGGCAATCTCCATCAAGGGAAATGAAAATTAGATGAGAAATTACTGTTCTAGAGGCCCATGTTGTGGCACAGTGCATTAAGCCAGCACTTGTGACATAGATATCCTTTATTGGATTGCTGCTCTGAATTCCAGCTGTTCTGCTTCCAACCCAGCTTTCTGGCAGCTCCAGCAACCTGCCAGTGTCCCTGGGAAAGTAGCAGATGGTGGCCCAGATGCCTGGGGTCCTCATATGAGAGATACAGCCAGGGTTCCAGATTCCTGGCTTCAGCCTGGCCCAGTCCCAGTCATTGCAGCTATCTGGGGAGTGAACCCCCCAGATGACAGATTATATATATACACCTTTCAAATAAATCCTCTCTTTTTTTTTTAAAGGAAGAACTGATTTGAAAGTAGAAATTAAGAAAAGAACTTGATAAAAGTGTAAGGACTTGGTAAGCCAAGAAAAAGAAAGAGGCCACCTGGTGGTTGCTGGATGCCTACGATATAAAGTATCTAAGGGCCCCACAATGGGAAGCCTGTCTGGGTTGAAATAACTGATTTACCTTAAGTGCTAAAGCTGAGGCCATTTCCAGTAGAGGAAAAAGCAGCTCCATCAGGAGATGAGACGGGCACCAGGGAGCAAGATGAATTCCAACTGTTATTTCTTCCATTGCTGCTTTATGCTGTGTGGGAGATGAAGCACAGGTAAGACCAAAACTTCAATTTATACCTTTAGTATTTCTTCGACTTTTCCAAACTATATAGGTACATTATTGTTTGGAAAAATAAATGAATCACTTCTCGGCCTTTTGGCTAAGATCAAGTGTAGAAAAAGGAATGGAAGATATTTTCTTAAAAACCCCAGCTGCAGGCAACTGCCCAGGTTGCCTTGTGCCTTGGAGAAAAGCAGCCAATAGCTGGCAGACATTCTGGGCCTGCTTAATGCCAAATTTGTGTTAACTATACTGATATGCCAGTATATTCTTACCGTATTCTTACCGTACCCCCCCTCCTTTCTTTAAAGATATGTGGGGAAGCTGGGAAACTCCAGGCCAGGGCATGCCACCCCAGCTCCCAGGTAGTGGGACTGTAATTGCCTGGAGAAGGGGCGGGGGTCTGGTGACATACTGGAGTTGGAGTGGCTGAGGGCATATTTGATCCAGTGGGGTGACTTCTGGGTCTCCCACAGACTATGCCACTGCACTTGCAGGCAGGTAAGGGAGCTGAGACAGTGGTTTGGAGAGGGAAAACTAGAGGGCCTGTCTGGGTCAGGCCAAGGCACCTGTGCACATGGAAGACTTGAGCTGAGCTAAATAGTGTTGCCTGGCATATGAAAACTTCAGCTGGGAGGTATATGTGGCTGGGCTAGGCCACAGTACCAGCCCATGAGTGTAGAGCAGGGAGTGGACCACAACAGCCTGGGCTACAGCACACAACAGAACATGGGCCCACATCTATGGGGCTGCAGCACCCACTGGTTTATGTGGAAAGCTGGGAGTGGTGACAGAACACAGAACTCACCTGATAGGTACTCACCTGACACTTATGGATGCAGGGGCTTGGAGAAGGCCAGGCGGGGCCAAGCTGCAGCACCCACTGGTGCTTGTAAGAGCCAGAATGGGTGTGGGAAAGGCAGTACTAGGCTGTGGCACCTGCCAAGTGACATGAAAGCCAGATCTGGGTGTGAACCAGGCTGGACTAGGCTATAGCACCCATCAGTGAGAGCCAGAATGGGTGCAGGCCAGTCAGGCGAGGCCACTTTACCCACTGGTCAGTGCCAAGACAAGGGGCTAGCCATGTCAACGTGGACAGCAGTACCCGCTGGCGCATGTGAGATCCGTTGCTGGACCTGGTAGGGGAACTGCAGAAACTTTCCTGCTAGGCTGCAGGTCCTGCTGGTAAGTATAACAGCTACTGTTGGAAACATATGGTTTCCTTGTCAGGCATGTCCCTAGTCCTGGATTTTGCAACTACCAGAGGGTGCTGTGGTCCAGACTGACATGACTGTCACCCAGTCTTGGGACTTGCCAACTAGTGCTGTAACCCAGAAGATCCCCTACTAGGCCCACTTCTAGCCCTGGGTCTTGTGCATGCCAGCATGTGCTGCAGC